AAACTCTCAGGTAAGCTTCCTCAATTTTCCTCTTAGATCGAATAGTGCTTTCGCTTCCCTGCTTGTGGTTTCGTCTTTAGAAGTATATTTACTCACTTTTCCAAGCTTTGTGTCGATTAAGAAACCCTAATTTTCGATCTCGTAGAAACCTCACCTAGATTAGTTGGCATCGATATGAGGAATCGGAAACCCTAATTTCTTGAGTTCCTCAGGGCAGGCCGTGTCATAGTACATTTGGGTTTCGAGTGATACATCGGAATGGATATTAGGCGGCGTGAAAGCAAGACGGAATCAAGTAGTAGAGAGAAACGTATTTATGAGAAGGATCAGGTTGAATTCACAACTCCATTAATACTGAAAACTTTTGTGTGTTTTGAAAGGTCTTTGCTTATCAAATTTTGGTGCCTTGAACTCGTATAGATGAATCAAGACTCTTTTATTGAGGAATTAGCAGAGGAGTTTCGATTGCCAATTACACACAGAGTTACTGAAAATGTTGATCTGGATGATGTGGAGCAAGCATCATTAGACACAAAGATAACGTCATCGAATGTCGGGTTTCGTCTTCTTCAGAAAATGGGTTGGAAAGGAAAAGGTCTCGGAAAGCAAGAGCAAGGTCTGTGAAGTTATTTGAAAGATTGTTTAAATTGGCTCATGTTTTGATCATTTGTGATGTTGCTTGGTTTTTGAACTCAGGCATAACGGAGCCTATAAAATCTGGTATTAGGGATCGAAGACTTGGTCTAGGAAAACAAGAAGAAGACGATTATTTCACTGCAGAGGAAAATATCCAGCGGAGGAAACTTGATATCGAGATCGAGGAAACTGAGGAGATTGCAAAGAAACGGGAGGTATGCGATCAAAAACATATTTGGAAATCATGCCTTTAACTTTCTGAAAACACAATACCCAAAAAGAGCAAAGGCAGTGTATGCGTGTGCTTTGACGGGAATGGTAGAAATTGTAAAGGGGAAAGAAAAAACTTCAGTTTTTTTATTACCTGGTTCGTGGCTTTGTTGTACTGCCCGCTTCCTGCCCATTATGACAATCCAGGTCCTAGCAGAACGTGAGCAGAAGATCCAGAGCGATGTAAAAGAAATCCGTAAAGTCTTCTACTGTGAACTCTGCAGCAAACAGTATAGAACGGTGATGGAGTTTGAAGGTCACTTGAGCTCATACGATCACAACCATAAGAAGGTAAACAAAAACTTTAATCCCTTAAGTCTTGTTTTATAGCTTTTCCAAGCCTTATACATCAAGTGTCGGTATTATGCAGCGATTCAAAGAAATGAAAGAAATGCATGGTGCAAGCAGCCGCGATGATAGGAAGAAGCGAGAACAGCAGCGTCAAGAGAGGGAGATGACTAAAATGTGCTCAATCGTTCATAGTTTCTTTTCCGTCTACATGTTTTGAAACATTGAGTATGCGCTGGACTTAACCCAAATTATTTACTTAACTTGTTAGGGCTGATGCTCGCAAACAACATCAAATGCAACAGAACCAGCAAGAAGACCCACAGAAGGTCCCGGTTTCTTTACCAGCCAAGACCACAGTTGCACCACTTGCTGACCAAGATCAGCGAAAAACACTGAAGTTTGGCTTCTCTTCCAAAAGCGGCAGTGTATCAAAGGTATATAAAACCGTTGTTCATTTAAGAGTCAGGCTTAACACGGTCACCGCCCTTTAAGTGGGCGAGGACGGTTAAGCTTGCTACAACATTCCATACTCACTGGTCACTGAAACTAGTTTATCTGTTTCATGTTTGTAGAGCCAACCCACAAGCAGCATCAAAAAGCCAAAAGTAGCAATTGCATCAGTTTTTGGTAACGATAGCGACGAAGAGTAAAGGTTACATACAATATGGTCGAGAATTTTATTGTAACTTTTATGTAATTCTATATTTTTCACACATTACAACAGAACCGAACTTGGTCGGAAACAAATCTTTACACTTCCAATCTTTTTTTGTGTTTTTTGTGTTAAATCTTATAAACTCTTGTCGCTATATCAAAGCTGACCGTTAAAGTGGCATCACCTAAAAAAACAAAAAAATCTTGTTATTACGGATGCAACAAACCAGAGGCTTTCAAAGACCACCATTGAAAACGTGAGTGAAAATTATTTTGGTAGGTAGCCCCGGGCACAAATATCCGATTCGCTCCGATTAAAACGGATATTTGATTTTCTGATCTGATCTGTTATCTTTCGAATACCAAAAATTTATCCGAATTTTTTTTAGGTATCTGCGGTTATCCGATTCGATTCGTGAAAATCGAATATCCAAAAAATTTTCAGATATTTTATCCGCTCCG